ATTTTTGGGGGAGGCGGGAACCATAATAGTTTTAAGGCGAGGTATGATGAAGCTCATGGGGCAGGGAGAGAGAGGACCTAGTAGCAATCAGCGAAGAGGCAGGGTCAGGAGCTATGACTTGACCCCTGCAACCACAAATAGGTGAGTACAAATAGGTGAGCACAAACATGTACAAGCGTATATGTATATACCCCTTTGGTTCTCTTCTATTTTCTTTCTAGTTTCTTGTTCTTGTTTACTTCCTCTTATCTCCATGGGGAAGTGGAACAGAATTCTTCCTCTGTAAGCCATGCGTGTTGTAAGAGGCGACTAAAATGCCGGAGCAAGGGGCTAGTAACCCCTTCTCCTGTATATATTACAAAATTTGAAAGGAGAAACTTTCGTTTTTCCTTTTGGGCCACCCTGCTCGGTGGCATAACGGCCGGTGTGTTGAAAGAAGAAAGAAGTCTGTTGAGTATACCTGGTACAGTGTATGGTAGAGTTATTATTGAAAGAATTAAGAGTAAGACGGAGAATTAGGATAGCGATGAACAAGGAGGCTATAGGAAAGGTAGAGGGTGTGTGCACCAGGTGTTTACAGTGAAACATATAAGTGAACAGTATTAGAAAAGGCTAAAGAGGTTTTGTGGCATTTATGGATTTGGAAAAGGCGTATGACAGGTGGGATAGGGGGGCAATGTGGCAAATGTTGCACATGTAGTGGTATAGGAGGTAGGTTACTGAAAGCAGTGAAGAGTTTTTATGAGGACAGTGAGGCTCAAGTTAGAGTATGTAGGAAAGAGGGAGATTATTTCCCAGTAAAAGTAAGCCTTAGACAAGGATGTGTGATGTCACCGTGGTTGTTCAATATATTTATACATCGAGTTGTAAGAGAAGTAAATGCATGGGTCTTGAGGCAAAGAGGGGAATGCATGAGAGTATGTTTTACCAACGCTCTTATATGGGTGTGAAGCATGGGTGATGAATGTAGCAGTGAGAGAAGGCTGGAGGCAGTGGAGATGTCATGTCTGAGGGCAATGTGTGGTGTGAATATAATGCAGAGAATTCGTAGTCTGGAGTTTAGGAGGAGGTGCGGGATTACCAAAACTGTTGTCCGAAGGGCTGAGGAAGGGTTGTTGAGGTGTTCGGACATGTAGAGAGAATGGAGCGAAACAGAGTGACTTCAAGAGTGTATCAGTCTGTAGTGGAAGGAAGGCGGGGTAGGGGTCACCCTAGGAAAGGTTGGAGGGAGGGTGTAAGGAGGTTTTGTGTGCGAGGGGCTTGGACTTCCAGCAGGCATGCGTGAGCGTGTTTGATAGGAGTGAATGGAGACAAATGGTTTTTAATATTTGACATGCTGTTGGAGTGTGGAGCAAAGTAACATTTATGAAGGGTCAGGAAACCGGCAGCCGGACTTGAGTCCTGGAGATGGGAAGTACAGTGCCTGCACTCTGAAGGAGGGGTGTTAATGTTGCAGTTTAAAAAACTGTAGTGTAAAGCACCCTTCCGGCAAGACAGTGATGGAGTGAATGATGGGTGAAGTTTTTCTTTTTCGGGCCCCCTGCCTCGTGGGAATCGACCAGTGTGTTAATAAAAAAAAATAATAAAAAAGAAAAACTGGATATGAAATTGGGGAGAAGGAGTATGGAAGAAGTGAATGTTTCAGATATTTGGGAGTTGATGTGTCAGCAGATGGATTTATGAAGGATGAGGTTAATCATAGAATTGATGAAGGAAAAAAGGTGAGTGGTGCATTGAGGTATATGTGGAGCAAAGAAGGGAATGTATGAAAGCATAGTAGTGCCAACACTCTTATATGGGTGTAAAGCTTGGGTTGTAAATGCTGCCACGAGGAGGTGGTTGGAGGCAGTGGAGATGTCCTGTCTAAGGGCAATGTGTGGTGTAAATATCATGCAGAAAATTCAGAGTGTGGAAATTAGGAGAAGGTGTGGAGTGATAAAAGTATTAGTCAGAGGGCTGAAGAAGGTTTGTTGAGATGGTTTGGTCATTTAGAGAGAATGGATCAAAGTAGAATGACATGGAGAGTGTATAATCTGTAGGGGAAGAAAGGCGGGTAGGGGTAGTCCTCGAAAAGGTTGGAGGGAGGGGGTAAAGGAGGTGTTTGTGGGTGAGGGTTTGGACTTCCAGCAAGCATGCGTGAGCATGTTAGATAGGAGTGAATGGAGACAAATGGTATTTGGGACCTGGCGAGCTGTTGGAGTGTGAGCAGGGTAATATTTAGTGAAGGGATTCAGGGAAACCGGTTATTTTTATATAACCGGACTCGAGTCCTGGAAATAGGAAGTACAATGCCTGCACTCTAAAAGAGGGTTTGAGATATTGGCAGTTTGGAGGGATATATTGTGTATTTTTATATGTATTATACTTCTAAACTGTTGTATTCTGGGCACCTCTGCAAAAACAGTGATTATGTGTGAGTGAGGTGAAGGTGTTGAATGATGATGAAAGTATTTTCTTTTGGGGGGATTTTCTTTCTTTTTTGGTCACCCTGCCTCGGTGGGAGACGGCCGACTCTTAAAAAAAAAAAAAATTAAAAAGGAACAGGGTTTTAACTCACTTAGGATCAGAAGAGTGTCTGCTGAAAAATTCGCTTTCAACATTACGCTGGTTTAGGATGGTTGAGATAGCATCATGCTGGGCTTCAATAGGCAGAGTTGGAGGGGGACCAATTGCTTCATTTAATGCATGGCCAAACTGCTCTAGAACTTCAGGACTTGTGTGTCCTACGTAACTCAACAACTGGAAAATAATGACAAAAAGTATAGTTACATTATATCATATAGTTTATAAAGTCAAAAAATTGCTGCCTTATGTGATATTATTCATACTGTGTTAATTTTAACTAAAATAATTTATACACTTAAATTTGTCATCCTTTTACATAACTTCTTCTTCCATAAACAAACCAGCCGTATCCCACAGAGGCAGGGTGGACCCATTCAGGGTCCAAGGCCAAAATCTGAAGGGGTGCCCCAGTGTCCAAGAAGGTTTGAAAAAAAAAAAAATTATTTTTTCTTACAGAATTAAAGATAATATTTTTGTGAAGGAAATAAAATAAAAAAAAAAAATTTTTTGATCAGTACTTAAACCGAGGTACAGCGGCGGGAAGTTGACCCAAATGACCGGGTGGCAGCAACATCAGTGACTTCCGCAAAATTGCATTTTTTTATTTTACGTTTTTTATACTTTTTTCTTTTCTTTTCTAATTTTTTTCTTTTCCTAGTAACATTTGTGGCCTGTGAGCCCAATATAATGTATACCATATAAGTTGTACACTCATTGTATTAAACACAATAATTGTACTAATTTGTTTATCATTATACTGCTTACAAAACTTGTTTTACAAGTTTATTGTAAACAAAAATGATAAAATATTTGAGCGGTTATTGTTTGAATACAATGTACCATATAGTACCATATGGTACAATGGTGCCATAGGGTGCAATGGTCCATATAGTACATTGTACCATATGGTACAATGACACATGATACAATGGTACCATAGGATTCAAGGGTACCATATGTAGAATATTGTACAAGGGCACTATTTGGTACAATGGTACCATATGATAAAAATGGTACCATATGGTGCAATGGTCCCTTGTGGTACCAGTGGTGCAATGGTACCATATGGTGCAATGGTACCATATGGTACATTGTACCATACAGTACAATACCATATGGTTCATTGTACCATATGTACTTTTTGTATTCAACACAATAAACACACTAATATTTTCATTATTTTTTTTTACAATAATTGTTACAACAAAAATAATGCAAAATGTTGTATATTAGTAATGTTCTATTATACATTTACAAATGTACAGGAACTCGACATGTTCCTTGAGGTGGATGACAAAGCGCTTGTCCCTTGGAAACTGTTGAGTAAGTAGCTAGCTTGCGTTGCCACTCACTCAGTCTTGGCTGGGGTCTTGTGCCACCAACACCACCTATTGACCATATGGTAACACGGTATCATAAAGTTACAAGGTACCAAATGGGACATTGTACTATATGGGAAAAGGGTACAATGCAGTACAGGAAAACATATGGTGCAGGGGACCATATTGTGCAGGGTACCATATGGTACAGGGTACCAATGGCACAGGGTACTATATGGCACAGGGGACCATATGGTACAGGGGACTATACAGTACAGGGCACCATATGGTACAGATACAAGGATCCCTATGGAAATAAGTCACCCTGACTCTTTTGGGTTATCCTAGGATTTTATAAAATATGCTGCTATGTAAATAATCCATGTAATTGTATTTCTGTACACCTGAATAAACTTACTCAAGCGCATGTGGCATCGTTAGTAAGTTTACTTAGGTATACCACAAATAAAGTTACATAAATATCATACTTTATTTTTTTATTTTTTTATTTATTTTTATTTATTTATTTAGAAATTTTAGCATACATACAGAGGTACAAAAAAATACAGGTAAGGCAAACATGCCAAACCACTTATATGCATAGCATTACGGCTGGCTTTAAAATTAACTTAACATTAACTAAGCAATGATGAAATCATGATAAGACATTATTGTAAAAGATAACTATAAAATACAAATGAGTATTACAAAGACAGGTCATATGGTTGCATGCATTGCTGTTCATTCAGCAGAATGGAGTATTCTGTTAGGTAGTGTATTTAAAAAAATAACAAAGTTAGGTTTAAATTTGTGTGATATAATTGTGAGTAACATTTAGGATAAAACAATTTATAGGTTCAGTTATTTATAAATTTTTTTGGTTTGAGTGAGTAAGTGAACTTTGAGAAGAGACTTGAATTTATAAACAGGTAGTGTTTCTTTTATATTTACAGTATATCATAGCAGTACAGGGAGTGGCAGCAGAGCAGCAAGCTCTGTCATTTTTCCACCTGCAGAGCCCACCAACGCTTCAATGATGGCCTAATTTCAATCATAACTGCACTAACATACTAGAACCCCGCCCTGACCCAAGATAATCAACAGTAATACCTACAAACGAAAAATTACCGAGTGAAGCGAAGACTGCCCCACAACTTCCAAGCACAACCCCGCTGCCAGACGAATACCTACTCCAAGCTCTTAACTATCTTAGTTTCTTTTATCTTACCACAGCAACTCCTGTACTACTATGAGACCAACTAATAGAAGAAACAGCACTAAGAACAGCAAGGCAGCACCTAGAAATCGACTATTCCATAAGATGACCAGCAGGACGCCGTGCTCCATCCAACCCCTTACAACCCAGAGCGACGCATCACCAACAACAAACATGGCCGACTCACCCTCACCCACAAACCCTCCCTCTCTACCTCTACTACCTTCATAGGATTTGACCGAGCTGATATGCTCCCAGGTATGACTGATGATCCTGACACTCTAAAGCACTACATCACCACCCTAACGGCGGATAACATGAATCTTCGTGCTGAAAATATGTCTCTCTGTGCAACAATAACAAACCATGAATCTAAGTTACTTCACCTTGAGAATAAGATCAACAACCTTGAACAACAGCAAACATCAACTGGCATGACTGATTTTTGGCAAGACCCTCCAATCTGTCATAGCCAGCCACACAGATCAAATAGCTTCCCTAAACAACGAAGATTGATAATGCCATCAAGGACTGGAAAATAAACATGGATACCCAATTGAACAATTACAGTGGACCCCCGGTTATTGGTGTTATTGGTGTGGATAAATGAAAAACAGATAGCAGGAGATAGCATCTCTCAAGCAATCATTTGTGAAAAGGCTAGGCAGTTGCATGACGATTTGGTAAAAAAATTGCCTGCAACTAGTGGTGATGTGAGTGAATTTAAGGCCAGCAAAGGTTGGTTTGAAAGATTTAAGAATTGTAGTGGTATACATAGTGTGATTAGGCATGGTGAGGCTGCCAGTTCAGAGCACAAAGCAGCTGAAAAATATGTGCATGAATTCAAGGAGTACACAGAGGCTGAAGGATTGAAACCTGAACAAGTGTTTAATTGCGACAAAACAGGCCTGTTTTGGAAGAAATTACCAAGTAGGACCTACATTACTCAGGAGAAAAAGGCACTCCCAGGACATAAGCCTATGAAAGACAGGCTTACTCTGTTGATGTGTTCCAATGCTAGTGGTGATTGCAAAGTGAAGCCTTTATTGGTGTATCACTCAGAAACTCCCAGAGCGTTCAGGCAAAAGAATGTCCTCAAGGCTAATTTGTGTGGCTGTGGAGGGCAAACAGTAAGCCATGGGTCACTAGGGACTTTTTCTATGACTGGTTACACCATGCATTTGCCCCCAGTGTGAAAAATTTACCTAAGTGAAAAGGAATTAGACCTTAAGTGCCTCCTGGTATTAGACAATGCCCCTGTTCATCCTACAGACTTGTCAGAGCGGCTTTGTGGGGACATAAGTTTCATTAAGGTCAAGTTTTTGCCTCCTAATACCACTCCTCTCCTGCAGCCCATGGACCAGCAGGTCATTTCCAACTTCAAGAAACTGTACACAAAAGCTATGTTTGAAAGGTGCTTTGAAGTGACCACAGAAACTCAACTGACTCTAAAGGAGTTTTGGAAGGATCACTTTACTATCCTCAATTGTGTAAAACTTATAGGTAAGGCTTGGGAGGGAGTGACTAAGAGGACCTTGAACTCTGCCTGGAAAAGACTGTGGCCAGAATGTGTAGACAAAAGGGATTTCGAAGGGTTTTGAGGCTAACCCTGAAAAGCCTATGCCAGTTGAGGAATCCATTGTGCATTGGGGAAGTCCTTGGGGTTGGAGGTTAGTGGGGAGGATGTGGAAGAGTTGGTGGAGGAGGACAATGAAGAACTAACCACTGATGAGCTGCTAGATCACCTTCAACAGCAAGAGGCCACACCTGAGGAAATTGCTTCGGAGGAGGGGAGAGAGAAATTGAAGAAGTTGCCTACTTCAAAGATTAAGGAAATCTGTGCAAAGTGGCTTGAAGTGCAAACCTTCATGGATGAAAATCACCCTAAGACAGCTATTGCAAGCCGTGCTGGTGACTATTACACTGACAATGTTGTGAACCACTTTAGGAAAGTCATAAAGGAACGAGAGGTACAGGCCTCTATGGACAGATATGTTGTGCGACAGAGGTCCAGTGACTCTCTACCTGGTCCTAGTGGCATTAAAAGAAGAAGGGAAGTAACCCCAGAAAAGGACTTGCTACCTCAAGTCCTAATGGAGGGGGATTCCCCTTCTAAATGCTAACACCATCCACACTCTCCCCCTCCTCCCATCCCATCAATCATCACCAGATCTTCATTAAAGGTACGTGTCAATTATTCTTTCATTATTTATTATTATTTATTGTTATTGTTGTTATTGTAATTACTATTCTATTGCATTAAACTTAATATTTCATGTGGTAAAAGTTTTTTTTTTCATACTTTTGGGTGTCTTGCACGGATTAATTGATTTCCATTATTTCTTATAGGAAAAATTGATTCACTTTCCGATATTTTTGGTGTACAATGAGCTCTCAGGAACGGATTAGTATCGCGAACCGGGGGTCCACTGTATTTTGCTAACCAAGATGATAAGGCAGAGCAAGACAAGTTATCTGATGCAGTAGTAATTAACACTTCACTCTTTCCCAGCGAATTAAACCATTCCAACTGCAAAGAAAAGACTCTCCAGATCATACGCGACCACCTACAGGTTTAAAACGTACCAGTGTCGGAAATAAAAGAATCGCGGCTACTAGGGAATAAAGTAGAAAAAGTG